TTTTTTTATGGTTTCTTTTAATTTTTGCATCCATTATTTTGGAGCTAAGTTGCCCATCAAGAGTAAGTTCAGCCGCTTCCCTCTCCCTCTTTATCCCGGGGCAGCAGCCGGGTTCCCCCATCCTCCCCCTCTTCTGTGCCTCCCTCCATCCCCTTTCCCTGATTGGATTTCAGGAAGAGTGTGGAAAGCTTGGGGAGGGAGGGACTGGGCCACAATTTTTCCCCAGGAAGTTCCAGGAGGATTTGCAGCTCCCACGGCCCCCATCTCCATCCCCAAAGCCCCCCAGGTCGGGCAGTGGGACACGGACACAGCTCTGGGAACGCTGCCGTGGCAGCAATGCTGTGCTCCCCTCTTCCAGGGGTGATTTTTTCCATCAGGTGTAATCCCACTGCACAGACCTGGCAGCTGGAAAGAGCTTCTTCCTAGGGGGGACACATGAGGGGGGATTAATTCGAGCACTTCTCCCAGCCCTGAATGAATTTCCCCAGGATTCAGATTCCTGAGGAAGGACTTTCCGAGTCCAGAGGAACAAACTCGGAATAATCTTCCTTAGTGCCTTGTCGGGGTGATCCTTCCTGCTGTGAAATCCTGAAGAAATGTGATTTTGACAGGCTGGAGTTTTGGGGCCCTGCCCTGGGCTTGCTGTTACTCCATGGAATTGTGCACATGGAGTGATTTGGGATGAATTTGCTGCTGGGCTGGAGCTGGGAAGGTGGAGGATGAACCTGGAAAGGGACAAAGCAGAGCAAAGCAGGGATTTTGCTGCCGTGTAATGGCAGGTCTTGGGTTGTTTCAGCCTCTTTTTGGTAATTTGGCTCCCCGGGACAGGTGTGGGCTGGGGCAGGGACAGCCCTGGGGTGGCCACGAATCCCCTGGGAGAGGATTAGGGAAAACTGGGGCATCCCTGGGGTGGGATGTGGTGCCCAGGGAGGGGGGACAGCACAGACCTGCCACCCTGGGGGCTCATGCAGCATTTCCAGGGCTTCAGGCTGAGGAGGTCTCATCTGCCCCAGCCCCCAGCCAGGCTGTGAGCAGGGTCTGCACCTCTCCCCGTGCCCACCTGGCAGGTTAATTAGGGATCGAGCCACATGGCAAGCGATGCTCCCTCTCCATGGGGCCATCCCTGGCACTGCAGGGGTTGTGTCCCGGTGTCCTGGGGGGTGCTGACCCCTCTGTGTCCCCCCCCCATCCCACAGTACTCCCCGAGCATGAGGGCCACGTACCTGAGTGTCACCGATGAGCACGTCCGGCACCGCGGCGACTTCCCGGCATAGGAGGGGACACCGCCGGCGTTTCCCTCGGGAAACCAAAGAGCCCCGGAGAGCACGCGGTAGGAGACACGGCGGGGGAGGAGGAACGAGCCTGGAGAACCCCCCCATGCACCCCCCTGGCAGCTCCTGGGCCTCGACTCGTCCTGCCTTATCCCAGGGAGTGCAGGGATGCTGCTCCACCACCGGCTTCTCCCGGCCCGGGATCGTCGGAGCCTTTTGGAGGGCAAATCCCGGGACCCCCCCCGGGGAGGGGTCCAGGCAGGGGCTCCCGTAGCAATGCAGCACCAACCACTAGTGATCCCAACCTTTCCCCGTCCCCCCTTCCCCGGCTGCTCCCTGCGGGCAGATCCGGCCCCCTGTGCCCCCCCTCCCCACCCCCAGGCTGGGGAATTACGGATGTTTTGGCCTTGCTGGTTTTCCTTTGCTTTGCCCCCTGGGATGTGGGAGCTCTTGGGAGCGTGGGCTGACTCTGTCCCAGAGTGGGTTTTCTGCAGTGTAGTTTGGTAGCAGGTTTTTTGTGTGGTTTTAGGCTCTTGTTGGTGATTTGGCTCCCCAGGGCACGTGTGGAATATGGGGCAGGATCCCCTTCTCCTGCAGGATAGCCCTGGGGCAGTCAGGAATCCCCTGGGAAAGGGTGAGGGATTACTGGGGCTTCCCTGGGGTGGGATGGGGTGCCTGGGGAGGGGACAGTGTGGACCTGCCACCCTGGGGGTGCTCATCCAGCATTTCCAGGGCTCCAGGCAGAGGAGCTGGGAGCTGAATGGATCCTTTGGGGCTGCCCTTTGGCACAGTGATCCCCAGGAAGCCTTTCCCCACGGAGCAGGGTTGGCCCCCATGCTCTATCCCACCCAGGCCCCCCAGCCAGGGTCAGTACATCCCCCTGCCTCCCACTCTCCATGTTCCCTGTGACTAGCATCCCTCCCTTTTGGGGGAAATCCCAAGGGATTTTGTTATTATTTTTATTTTTTTGGCTTTTAACATTTCCATGTAACGGTACTGGTAGAAGAGCTGTTGTTAACCGCATGTGAACTAACCGAAGGACTCGGGCTGGGAGCTGGAGTCCAGCTGGATTTGTATGTGCCCTTTTGGGGGGAAAGATAATAAACACTTGGACTAAATTTCTCTCCTCTACGACGTTTTTTGGGGGTTTTTTTGGATAGTCTTTGGGGCACCTTTTATTTTCCCTCTCCAACATGGCGGCCGTCACGTGGCTCAAGGCGTTGCCTGGCAACGGCAACGCGTCCCCGGCCAGGCCCGACCGGGACGGGCCCCACGGGGGTCCCGGGACCTCCGAGGTGTTCCTTTAACAGTCAGAGCTCTTCATCCCTCTGTGCCTGGGGCTCGCCTCCATTTTGGGACTCCTGCTGCATTTCTGGGATCTCTCTTAAGCCCCCAGGTCCTTTTCAGGGTACTCCCTCCCCAGGCTCCCCACTCACATTTGGGGTTTCCCAAGGTTTCTATTCTCTTTTGGCACCTTCTCTAATCCCTCCTGGGGCTCCCTGAGTTTTCCTCTCCCTATCCCTGACAACTTCATTCCCTTTCAGGCTCCCACTCTCCTTTTGGGACCCTCTCTTCCTCCTTCAAGTTCCTGCTGTCTTTTGAGGCTCTCCGTCCACCCCTGAGGCCCCTGTTCCCTTGAAGGGTTCCCCAAGGACCTCACTCCCTCTCAGAGCTCTCCATCCCTGAGGCTTACACATCTTTCAGGGGCTCTCTTTTGGGACCCTCCCTCCCCAAGCCTCCCACTCCTTTTTGGAGTCTTCCCTGAGGCCCCCACTCCCTTTTGGGTCTCTCTGTCCCTCCCCAGCCTCCCCATTCGTTCCCAAGTCCCCCCCAGCATGGAGATCAGGTTTGAGTACACTCGGAAGCGCAGTGACTTCGGGCGGCCCTGCAACTTCTCGGACCTCCTGGCCGAGGTGACCGTGGACATCCCGCCGGACCCCAGCCTGGCCCAGGACTTCATCCCCCAGGACCCCGTGGACTTCGCCCTGCAGCACGGGCCCGTCATGGCCATGCACGAGGTACGGGGGCACCGCCCCAGGATGCACCAACCTGGGGGGCTCTGGGGGCTGTGCTGGGCCCTCACGGGGGCACAGAGTCGAGTCTCAGGTTGCTCCGATCTCTCCATGTCCCCCCATCCCAGGAGAACATGGGGCGGACAGGGGTGACATCCCAGCATGTCAAACACAAGGCAGGCAGCTGTCCCCGAGGGGACAAGGCCTGCCTGGCACCCCTCTGGGCTCAGGGGCCTCTGTGTCACCCTGCCCAGGTGAACACGGAGCGGGTGCAGGTGACATCCCAGGGCGTCAACCACGTGGAGGGCGGGTGGCCCAAGCACGTCGACCCTCGGAACTCGGAACTGACCTCCCGCTACAGGGAGGAGGTGGAGAGGGAGGAGGTCTACACCAATGCCATCCTGCACCTCGGCACCGTAAGGCCCTGCCCCTGCTCCCCCCCAAAACCCCCCGACCCTCCCAGAGCCCCCAGAGACACGTCCCGTGCTGTCCCCGCAGCTGATGGAGCACTGCATCAGGCAGAACAATGCCATCGACATCTACGAGGAATATTTTGCGGAGGATGAGGAAGAAGAGGGGGTTGAGGAGCCTCCCTCTGCCAAAACCATCAATGTCCTCAGGTAGCACAGCCAGGGGGGCTCACCAGGCTCCCCAGGGCCACAGTGGGGTCAAACCACCTTCAAAGCTTTAGGACCTAACTTCCAGTGTGTTTATGATGGTTCTGGATCAGTTTGTGGGTGAAACCCCCCCTGGAACCCCCCCTGCCCAATCATTCTGCCCTCCCCTGCCCAGGTGATTTGGGGATGGGAACCAGGGTCAGACTCAGCTCTGAGCATCTCCTGACAGTGCTTTAGGATTTTCCTGCTTATTTTTCAGTGCCTCAAAGGTTAATTTCAGCGTCAGGGGCTGTTGGGTTGTTTTGGGAGGCAGATCCAGTAAGAGAATTGGATTTTTAGAAAGGTATGACTGGAAAGACGATGAAATCATCAACTCTTCTCCCCCCATCTCCTGACCCACCGGAGAATCATTTCCTGCACTCAAGGCTCGAGGGCTGCAGATTGGTTTAACTGTGATTCCCACAACTTCCTTTGGGAGACACTCATCTCAGGGATTTGCAAAGTAACCCCTCTTGGATGACCTGTCATCCCAAAGGGACCCAAACCCCGTCAAGAGGACGGCCACGCATCTCTCCTGGCACCCCGACGCCAGCAAGGAGCTGGCCGTGGCTTACTGCAGCCTGGAGTTCCAGGACAGGAGGAGGGACATCAGCTTTGATTCCTACATCTGGGATATGGGTAAGGGGAGGGGGAAAGCCACAGGTCGATAGTGGAAGCACTTTGTGTCTCAGAGAGAGTGATGAGGCCTCGCAGCACCCGGGGAAGGTCAGCGGGGGGAGGTTTGTGCCGTGCAAGAACGGGGAGAAATGGGAGCTGGGAGGTGGGAAATAACCTCTAAAATCCCACTGCACGGCTCCAGAACCACAGCAGGCAGCAGAGCCATGTGCCTTGTACGAGGTTCTTGTCTTGATGTGGTTCAGTTGGGTAGATAAAGAAGCAGTAGGAACTTGGGGTGAGAATTGCCCTGATCCGTCCAAGCCTCTCTCAGACCTGGTTTATTTTGGGGTGAAAAGGGCAAAGAAGAGGGGTGGAGATACCAGGGGTCTATCCCCAGGCCAGCTCGCTTCCCTGCCCCATCCCAGTGACCTTATCCAGCACTTCCATGGCAAGGAGCGGGGTGGGATGGGGGCCTGGTTTTGGGGTGCTGCCTTCACCCTTTGCTCTTCACTCGTCCCTCCTTGGCAGAACACCCCTACAAGCCAGAGCTCACCCTCACGCTCTCGTCCCCTGTGGTGACCCTGGAATACAACCCCAAAGACTGGCACCACCTGCTGGGAGGCTGCTACAACGGGCAGATAGGTGAGGGGAATGGGGCAGGTGGGGGATTGATTCAGCAGGAACCTGCAGCACTGCTGCACTCACAGGGTGTCATCCGTTAGTGCTGCCACTGGGAATATCCCAGTGGCAGGGAGCAGGGCCTGGGATGCGCCTGTGGACAGGTGTGTACTCACCTGAGCGGGTGCCCAGGGGAGGGAGGACACAGTGCCAGGGAGCCCTTTGCGGCACTGGGGCAGCCATGGCAGGGATGGATGGCTGGATCCAAGGGCTGAGTGGGAAGGGTGCCGTACTCCCCCCTCTCCCACCACTCTGGATCATCTCCTGGGGGTGGGAAGCGTGTGGGAAGCACCTGGTGAGGTTTGCTCCCTGTTCTGACTCGGGAAGGGGGAAACATGTGACAAGGAAAGGAGCTGGGCAAAGGCTTTTCTTTTCCTTGCCAGTGTACTGGGACACCAGGAAAGGGGGGCTGCCCATGGAGGTGACCCCTGTGGAGCTCAGCCACAGGGACCCCGTGTATGGAGCGATCTGGCTGCCCTCCAGAACGGGCACCGAGTGCTTCTCAGCCTCCACAGACGGGCAGGTGAGGGGCTGGGGCAGGGCAAGGGTCAGGACAGGGCAAAGGCAAGGACAGGGCAGGGTGCCAGCTGCTCCTGAAGGGACCCAAAAGAGCTTCCCCTGCCTGTGCTGCCCCTCAGCAGCACAAGATCCAGGCCCTCCAGGCTGGCACGGGGCAGCTGCCGGGCTCCAGCAGCCCTGGGTGAGCAAGAGCAGCCCCCAGAGCCCCTGCCATGGCCTCTCCCCCACAGGTCCTGTGGTGGGACATCCGCAAGCTGTCACAGCCCAGCGAGAGGCTGGTCTTGGACATCACCCGGGAAGATCAGCTGAAGAATGCCCTGGGTGCCATCTCCCTGGACTTTTCCATGTCCATGGTCAGTGTCCCTGTGCCCACTGCTCACACCCTAGCCATGGGCACAGCCCAAGGGGCCAGGTTCATGAAGAAGTGGGATGTGCTGCCAAAACACAGGGTCCTGCTGGCACTTTGGTCCCCAAATCCCCCACTGGTGGCAGGTCCAGAGCTCTGGCTCCAGCAGGACCCCCTCGCTGCTGCCCCCCCTCCATCCTGCTGACAGCTGCTCTCTTCTGCTCCCACCCTCAGCCCACCAAGTTCCTGGTGGGCACAGAGCAGGGCAGCATCATCAACTGCAACCGCGACGCCAAGACCCCCCCCGAGAAAATCGCCAACGTCTTCAATGGCCACATCGGGGCTGTTTATGCCGTGGCCAGGAGCCCCTTCAACCCCAAAGTCTTCCTGTCGGTCGGTGACTGGACCGCTCGCATCTGGTCAGAGGAGAACCTGGACGGGTCATCAATTATGGAGACCAAGTAGGTGTCAGGGTGTGTTTGCTGGGCCAAAAGCCATCCCTGGGTGGCAGGGCGTGTTCAGGGGGTGCCAGCGGGGTCTGGTCGGCTCGGGATGGTGGGACAGGCCGAGGCAGAGCGGTGCCAGCGTGGCTGAGGAGCAGCTCTGCCCGCAGGTGCCACGTTCCCTACCTGCTGGACGGGTGCTGGAGCCCCGTGAAGCCGGCCGTGTTCTTCACCGCCAAGTCGGACGGGACCCTGGACGTCTGGGACTTCCTCTTCCACCAGAGGGACCCTTCCCTCAGCCTCAAGGTGGGTCCCCAGCCCCCCAAGCCCTGACAGGGGAGCGAGTTTGGCAGACACATGGCTTTGCCTCTGCCAGTTCAGCCTGCCCGACTTCCAGGGCCAAGTGCCACCACCCACGTGTCCCCCATCCCCAGGTGAGCAACGATCCCCTCCTCAGCCTGCGCCCACAGGACAACGGGCGCATCATCGGCTGTGGCACCAAGCTGGGCACCGTCACCCTCCTGGAGATCTCCCCGGGGCTCTGCACCCTCCGGAAGAACGAGAAGTCCCTGACCTCCACGGTGTGTGCCAGGCCCCAGCCGAGCCCTCTCACCACGGGCACGGCCCCAGCCCCACACCCAGAGCGCTGCCCACAGCCCTGCTCTGTCCCTGGGCACAGCACGGGGTCCCCTGTGCCCCCCACACCCCTCAGCCCCAAATCCCACCGCAGATGTTCGAGCGGGAGGCGCGGCGGGAGAAGGTCCTGCAGGACAAAAAGCGGGAGCTGCAGGTGCGGGCACAGCTCCTGGCCAAGGCCAAGAAGGAAGAGCAGGAGGATCCCCAGGAGGTGTTCAAGCAGGCCCGTGCAGATTTCTTCGGTGTCATCAAGGCTGAGCGGCAGAGGAGGGGAGATTCAGACTCCCTGCTTGGAGAGGTACCGGGGGCGGGACACGGGGGGGAACCGAGGCAGAGACCCCACCCAGGGCAGGGCACAGGGTCAGCCTCTGTCTTTCAGGGTCAAGAAGAGGAGGCTGCGTAGGAATAGGAAGAGGAGGAGGAGGAGAAGGGGGAGGATGCCAAGGTCAGTGCACTCCAGCTTCACCTTCCTCTCCCCTCTGTGCCAGAGCTGCTGCTCCATGGCTCCTGCAGGGATGAGTCTGCTGGCCCTGAGCTGGGCAGCACTTGTGGGCTCTGTGCCCCTGTGGGCTGGGCCTTGCACAGCCCCCTGACCCCCACAGCTGCTCCCTGGCCCTTGGCATCCTGATTTTCTTTGTGGTGAATAAACCACTGCTTTCCATGTCACGTTTCCTCTTTTGTCACAGCTGGGTCGAGCAGAGGTTGGGAAAGTCATGTCCTCCTGTTCCTTCTGTCCCCTCCTCAAGCCAGGACTTGGCTCAGAGCTGGTGGCTGAGCTTGGCCAAGCACCCACAGCAGCTCAAGGTGTCCCTTGGAGTGTCCCCAGCCCATGGAACAGGGCACAGCAGGGTGGCCAGTGATAACAGGGGGGTCCTGGTCCCCTCCAGGCTCCCTCCCAGCTGTGCTGCTGAGCACAGCCCGGTGCCCCTGCCAGCTCTGTGCCTGCGGGAGCAGCCCCGGCTGGGTTATCTACGCTGGGTAAACACTGCGGGGCCGGCCTCACTCCCGCTAATTAATCATTAACGAGCTGCCAGAAGCGCTGTCACGGCGATGGGGACATGGCCCAGATGGCAACCTGGGGGCTGGGGGGGAGGCTCCCAACAGTCCCCTCCACCAGGCTCTGCTCAGGGGCTGAACCCACCCGTGGGTGTGCAATGCCAGTGCCAGCTCTCCCCAGGCCAAACCCTCCCCAAAGAGGGACCCTCGTCCCCACAGGGGAATGCATCCGTGCCAGATGGAGCCACGTGGCTGCTCCAGCGCCCTGTGGATGCTCAGCACGGGGGGACACAGCCATCCCCCTGCCCTGCCAGGTGCTGATGGGGACACTCAGGGATCAGGTGTCTCCACGGGTGTTTTCCTTCCCAGGGGTTCCATCAACACGAGCTGAGCTGAGCTGGGGAGCGGTGTCACCCCAAAGATGCCTCGCACGTCTCCACACTTGTTTTCTGATTTATTAGGAAAGGAGTGGGGTTGCTCGGACAGGGATGGGGGAGCTGCCACTGTTAGCAGGGGTGGTGCCCCCCATCCCTCCTCCACTAGGGGAGGCAGATGGACCCCTCATCCCCAACCCTGGCAGCTCCCAGTTTGCCCCCGAGCTGGATCCAGCTGCCCACACAGAGGGATCCCAGTGCTGCAGGGGTGGCACCACAGGAAGGACGGGCTGTCCCTGTCCCCAGTGGGGTCTTCATTGTGCCCGTGCCCGTGGGCTGCATATTGTGCCTCCTACACCCCCTGCCCAGTGCTGGAGGGCCCCCAGCATCCCCCATGCCCAGGGATAGCGATGGGGATGGGACATGGCAGGGGGACACTCGGGGAGGGGTGGGCAGCGCAGAGCACAGCCCCATGGGGCCCAGCTGTCCCTCGTTACTTCTTCACCTTGATGAGGGCGTGGTACACGGGTTTGACGATGATGTGGAGGTGCAGGGAGTTGTCGATGAGGTACTCGGAGGTGCGTTTCTGCAGGTCAGCGTGCGCCAGGAAGTCGGGCGCCTCGTCCGAGCTCTGGTGGAAGCTGTAGGCATGTTTCACCAGCACCCGGCCCTGCTGCCGCACGCCCACCAGCACCGTCTTCTGGAAGGTGACGCCGGCGAAGTCGGGGCTGCTCATGGCCGGGGTGATGACGAGCCGCGGGCGCCCGTCCTCGATGCGCACGGGCTGGATGGCGCCCGACACCGAGTCCGAGTAGACGGGGCGCAGGCTGACGGGCAGCCAGCGCGGCGAGAACAGCACGTTCCACGTCACCCTCTTGCCGGCGTCGTGGCTGCTGGGGCCCAGCTGCGTCTGGAAGCTGGTGCTGCGGTCATCCCGCGCCGGGTTGGTGATGACCCACTGGGAGCCCCAGCTGGGTGCGAGGTAGTTGCGGGGCAGGAACATGCTGCAGTTGACGTCGAAGTACTTGGCGAAGTGGAGCGGGGAGGCGGCGTGGAACTGGAACGCCTGGAAGAGCAGGTCCTGCACCGCGCCGCGGTGCCGCGCCAGCACCGCCGACTGCGCCTGCAGCCGGAACAGCTGGCTGGGCGCGATCATGGGGTAGCGGATGGCACGCAGCACCCGCTCCGCCACGGGCGCCTCGGGCTGCCGGCGGCTCAGCCAGCCCTCCACGGCCGTGTAGAGCTCCAGCTCGCTGTGCAGCACCAGGTCGGAGCGCTCCAGCAGCAGCAGCAGCAGCTCCACACTCACCGAGCCCCACTCGGCACTGCCCAGCACCGCCGACAGGTTCCAGGCCAGGAACTGGAGGCAGCTCTCCTGCAGCGCCGCGTCCCCGACGCGCACGGCGTAGTGGTACCAGCCCACTACGTGGCCCTGGCTCGACTCGCTGGCCAGGTGGCTCCTCATGTACTCGGCCACGCCGCGCTGCAGCCCCCAGACCCGGTACTTGCTGGCCAGCTGGTGCAGGGGGATGGCCTGGTGCAGCAGGATGGACACCCCTCCGCAGTACAGGTACCTGGGGGCAGTGTGGGCGGTGACCTGGGGATCCCCGCTCCAGCAGCGCCGTTCCCAGAGGAGCAGCCTCTGTCCTGGGCTGTGCCCCTCTGGGTACCCCCACCCCTTGGGTCCCCGTGGTCCCCAGGGCAGTGTTTCCCCTCCTGGGCTGCATCCTGTGGGATGCCCAGGGAAGCATTCCCCCTTCTTGGATGCATCCCTCTGGACATCCCCATCCCACACTGGCCCATGGTTCCCAGAGGAGCATCCATCTTCTTTGGCTGCATCCCTCCAGGTACACCCATCCCACAGGACCTCCATGGTCCCCAAGGGAAGATCCTCCCTCCTGGGCTTCATCCCTTTTAACACACCTGTCCCATTGGATCCCTGCGTCCCAAAAGGGAACATCCCCTTTCCTTGGCAGCATCCCTCTGGGCACCCCCATCCCACAGGGTCTCCAGGGGAGCCACATCCTCCCTGAGATCCCCATCCCACGGGGTCCGCACGCACCTGATGAACTTGTCGAAGAGCGCGGCGGTCTCGGGCGGCTCGTGCAGGGTGACGACGCTCTGGTTGCGCAGGAGGCTCTCGAACACCTCGCTCTGAAGGCTGAGCAGCAGCTGGTGCGTGTGGAACACCTTGGCCTCATCGGACGCGGCCGAGCGCACCCGCAGCACCGAGTCGCTGCCGTTCCCGTTCTGCAGCAGCTCCTGCAGCCGCTGCAGCAGCGTCAGCGAGTGGTTGATGGTGGCAGCCGTGGTGTCCCCGCTAAGGTCGCCTTTTTGGGCTGTTGGGGAGATGGGATTGTCCCAGTGCTGCGCCCCAGGCGGCCCTGGGGACCCAGCTGTGGGGCAGCGTGGGGTTACCTCCTCCCCTGCTCCCCCAGTGCCAAAGGGCTGGTTGGTGCCAAGGGGGTGTGGGAGGACAAAGGGACATGGGGACGTTTGTGTCCTTGAGAGCCAAAAAACTGCCTTCCTGCAGCAGAAGGGCTGAGACCACCATGTCCCAGGCTGGGATGTGCTGGGAAATGGCCGGGTGCCGGTGGTGCTGGCTCACAGCCCAGTCTGCCCTGTCCCTGCTGTGGGCACAGCGAGCCCCGGGCATTGTCACAACCCCCCACATCCCTGATGGATACTCAGGGGCATGGAGAGCCCAGGGGTGTGAGGAGCCAGGCACGCTCTGCCCCACTCCCAGGGGTGGGGGTCCTGTGATCCAAGCTGCCCTGGGGTCACTGCAGGTCTGTGCTGGGATCCCAGCAGGGACTGGAGAGGGACCTGGGAGTGTGGGATGGGGCTCTCCTGTGGGCACAGAGAACCTGCCTCCCTCTCCTCTTCTTCCTCCTGGCACAACTCCCACCCACTCCTCAGAGCATCCTTCCCCCAGGAGGAATTCAGCCCCATCTGTCTCAAATCCATCTTGCCTCTCAAATCCCATCTTGCCAGAGGATTACCCTTCCCAGTGCCGGCTTAAGTCCGGCTGAGCAGGGCTGGGGAAGGGGAGCAGGACCCTGCACCCCACAGTGCTGGGCATCGCTGCCCGCGGCTTTGAGCCCTTCCCTGAGCACAGCCCGGCTCCGAGGGGCACGGCCACGAGGCACAGCGCGTCCAGGAGCCACTTCCATCCCTGCCAGGCACCCCGATGGCTGCCGGAGAGCCCGTGGGCACCATTCCTGGCTGAGCCGCACCCCGGCACCCACCGAGGGCAACAGAAATTCCTGCTCCCTCGCCCTCCCCGCACCACGGTCGCCCTTACCGGCTTGCACGGTGAGGAGGAGGAGGAGGAGGAAGGCGGTGGCGCAGCCCCAGCGCCGGGTGGCCCCGGGCCGGGCGCCCGTCAGCCTGGCCATGGCGTCGCAGGCGCATCTGCCGGCTCTGGCCGGGCACACGCTGCCCGCCCGGTCCTTATGTAGGACACGCGCCCTCCCGGCCCTCCCAGCCCGCGCCGACACATCGATTGGTGGAAACTGGGACCGGCCGTTGCCAAGGGAACCTCTTCCAGCCTCCCTCCATCCCACCCTGACCCCCAGCCCCGCACCCCGGGGTGCTGTGACGGGGCGCCCCGACGGGCTGTGGCTCGGCACGGAGATGTCACCGTGTGCCACCTGCTCCTACCGCCGGCCACGCCGGAGCCCCGCGCGCGGCCCGCGGCCCTTTGTGCCGGCAGCGGGGTCTTTGCATTCAGGGCACAGCTCGGTGGCCTCCCGCTCCCCCGGCTCATGGGTATTCATGCCGGCAGCAGCCCATCACCATGGCATCCGGGCTGCCGGCAGGAACCGCCTGCCCTTTTCCCAGTCTTTGCAGCCAAGAGGCCGCCCGTGCACCCTGGGCGGCCTCTGATGGCCTCTCGCCCACCCCGACGCCTCTGGAGGGGCTTCCCCGCGGGGCTGGGGTGGCGTTTGCCCCTCAAAGCCCCAGCGCCACGTGCTGGGGCTGGTGTAGCACCAGCACAGGCTGGGGGTGGTGCTGGGTGAGTACCCCACTCTGGCTGTGGCCCTGGTGGCACCAGGCAGTGTGGAGCCAGGACTGGGACCCCCAAGTGGGACACAGACAGAGGGACAGACCCCACAGACGAGGGCAGCCCAGCTCACATGGGCACAGCAGCCCCTTGCCCACAGCCAGGGCTCCCCAGCACCGTGCTCAGCCCCAGGTCACCTCGAGGGGCAGCTCCTGCAGGAGCCCTGTCCCACTGCACAGCCAAGCTGGGACGGGGATGTGGGAATGTGGGAGATGGTGAGCGTGGGCAGATGTTGCCACAGCTGCCAAGGGGGCAGGAGCAGCATCTGGCCTTGACACACAGGGTGAGGGGCTGGGGGCAAATCACCCTGCCGTTCTCCCAGGGCTCCCTGTCCCCTCGCAGGGACAGGCAGGTCAGTGATGCTGTACAGGCCATGGAGCTGGGGTTCCAGCCCTGTGCCCCTGCAGGGCTGGGGACCCTCAAAAACACGGTGTCAGCAGAGTGCCCAGCCCAGAGGGTGTCCCTTCACCACGGTGGGGCGAGGGGTGGGGGCCCCGCTGTGGCACAGCCGGTTCACGGCTCACCGCATCCTCTGACGCCTCATTTCACCCCTGCCTGACAAACAACAGCTTGTGGCAGCGTGTGCCCAGCCAGCCGCCGGCACCGTGCCAGCCCGGGTGGCACCCAGGGACCCCCTGTCCCCCACAGGGGCATGGAGGGGCACAGGGGACTGTGGGGCTGCTGTTGGGGGACACCAGGGGATGGGGTGACATCCCCCAGCCCCCAGTGAGGTGGGGCAGCAGCTCTGCCAGCCCGGAGATTGCGGCTGAGGCGGCGCAGGGCTGGCTCACCATAGCGACCTGTGCCAGGCGGCACTGCCAGGGCACCACCCCACAGGCTGGGGGGCACCAAGGGGGTGGGAGTCTCCTCAGGCACTGAGGAACAGCCAGGGCAGAGCCCAGCAGGGACACACGGGCAGCACACATGGATTCACAGTCGTGTGCCACTCACATGTCACACCCTGTGCACACACACTGTCCCCAGGGGTGGCCGCTGCCCCTGAACCTGCTTTCCCCCAGACCACCACCCCTATTGCTCCGGGGTGGGGATGAGCTGTGTCACAATCACTCAGAGCTTCCCAGGTGACCCCTTCCCTGGCCCCTGCGGGAGCTGCTGGGCCCAGTGACGTCCCTGTGCCCCGCCAGCCCAGCCCGCGGCTCTGCCCGTGGCTCTGCCCACGCCGCTCTCCCTCCGCCCCGTGTCCCACACCCCGGGAGGCTGTGACATGCTGCGTGTGCTGGAGGGGACACGGGCACCGACAGGGACACGGGCACCAAGAGGGACACGGGCTCCAGAGGGGAAACAGCCTCTAGTAGGGCCACAGAAAACAACTGGGAAACAGCCACCCACAGGGACAGGGACACCAGTGGGAACGTGGACACCGACAGGGACACTGACAAGGACACGAACACCGACGGGGACGTGGACACTGACAGAGACACGGCCACTGAGTGGGACACAGGCACCAGTGACTCTCCAGGCCCAGGAAAGGTGGCACCACACGCCCAGCGGGTGGCACCGGGGCCACCGAGGTGAGAGCCCCTGTCCGCAGGGTTTGGGGCGTGGGACCCCAGGCAGGGGGGGCAAAGGAGGGCCCAGAGCAGACCCGCCCCTCCAGCAGCGCAAAGGGGATACGGGCTGGGAAAGGGTTAAAGGCGCTCCCACAGCGGCTGCAGCCGATCGATGCCCCAGTTCCCCGGGGGACGTGGAGGGATGGGAGTCGCTCCTGCTGATAAGCCGGAGCTAATTTGAAGTTAATTGGCACCCCCGTGCTCCTCCATCCCTGCTTCATACCCCCCCCCCAACTTCCATCCCGGCCCCGGGGGTCGCAGGGCCGGAGGGGTGGAGCCCCCAGGATCCCACAGACACCTCGGGCACTGCTGGGGGAGCGGATCCATCAGCGGGGGTCCTGGAGAGAGACGTGACCGCTCCCCACGACCCCAGAGCCCTCGGGGGTCTGCGGTGATTGGGACTTGAGCAATCTGGGGCCTGCGTGGCACTGGGAGCGGAGCCGTGCCCAGCAATCCCCCCCAGCTCAGGCCCCCTCCTGCACCCTCCGAACCCTGGCCCCCCCCAGCACCTCCCCATCCCAGGACCCCCCGCACCCCACACACCCCTGAGCTCAGCACTTCCCCCACATGCCCCATCCCGCTGTCCCCCGGGAGATGAGAATTTGGGGGGGATTCTGACCAATCAGAAGGCAGAGCTCAGCCCCGGTCCCACCATCCCAGGAGAGCCCCTCTCTGATTGGGTGAAGCTTCATTCCCTTTATCCAATAGGAGCGCAGGGCTCGGGAGGGGGCGGAGCCGCCCGGGTTATGAATGGGCGAGGGCAGCGCGGGCACGATCCGGGCATGGGGCGTGGGCAGGGGGATGCGGGCAGGGATCGGGCAGGGATCGGGCAGGGACCGGACAGAGATAGGGATACGGATACACATACGGATAGGGATGCGGATACAGATAAGGATGCGGGCAGGGCCATGGGCAGGGCCACTGCCAGACGCCTCGTGGAGCTGACTCCGCTTCCTCAGCCTGAGGAGCTGGCAAAGGACCACGCTGGCAGCCTGGAGATGGCCACTCCCCTTTTGGCAGGGCTGGGACCCCCCCTCCTCTTTGGCACTTCTGGGTCCTCCCTGTCACCGCTGGGACCCGGCGGGTGCGCTCAGCCCGGGCTGGGGGCCAGAGCCTCCCTCCCATGGCAGATGCCCAAGAACATGGTGTTTTAACCCGGAGTTCTACAAGAAGGGGGCTGGGGGATAAAGAAGGAGCAGCTCTGGTGGTGGGAGCTCAACCAGGACATGGCACAGGGGGCTTGGGGTTCGTTGGCTCCCATGGGAGCAGCAGCCCCAAGTCTGCCTGGGATGGCACATTTTGGAGCTGCCCGCTGTCCATTGATGCTGCAGGACAAGGGCCCAGCCCACTGGGGACACTGGGGTGATGGTCCCTGTCCCCCAGCCCCCAGTGCCATGTCATGGCTGACCTCCAGCCCGGGTACCATCAGGATCCTCATCCCCCTGACGCTCCCGTCTCCCCTCACAGCCGGTCCCTGGCAGAAGATGACGGTCCCAGTGCCCAACAGCACAGCAGTGTCGTGGGCTGGTGTGGCAGAGCCGGAGCGATCACCCTGCCTGGTTGGCATTGTCCCCATCGTGTACTACAGTGTCCTGCTGGGGCTGGGGCTGCCAGGTGAGGGGGCTGGGGGGTGGGGGGGTGGGGGCAGGGACAGCACCCACCTGGGTCTGAGCCCCTCTGAGGGGTTCTGAGCTCTGTGCCCTCAGCTGCTGGCAGAGCCTCAGCTTCTGTCCCAGCCTTCCATCAGCCCAGGGAGTTTGGGGATGGGGAGGAGAGTCCTCGAGTGGGGGAACCAAACCTGCCCCCCCTGCCCTGGCCTCAGATCCGGCCCCAGTGCCCGGCTGTGCTGCCCAGCCCCAGGGCAGGTGCCACCACCACAGGCACAGATGGTATTTGTGTTGCTTGGGCTGACACACAGAAGAGATTAATCAGCTCAGCAAATCCCCACGGCACTGGGATATTTATAGCTCCCCCCAGCTGGAGCCTGGGCACCCCTGGGGTCCCAAGTGCTGCAGGGAGGGGTCTCACCACCACCCATCACTCCCCTCCCCCCAGTGAACATCCTGACCGCCGTGGCCCTGTCCCGTCTGGCCACCAGGACCAAGAAGTCATCTTACTGGTACCTGCTGGCCCTGACCACCTCCGACATCCTCACCCAGGTCTTCATCATCTTCGTGGGCTTCATCCTGCAGACGGCCATCCTGGCCCGGGCGGTGCCCAGCGCCTTCATCCACACCGTCAACGTGCTGGAGTTCACGGCCAACCACGCCTCCACCTGGGTCACCGTGCTGCTCACCGTGGACCGCTACGTGGCCCTGTGCCACCCTCTGCGCTACCGCGCCGTGTCGTACCCGCAGCGCACGCGCAGGATCATCGCGGCCGTGTTCGCCGCCGCCCTGGCCACCGGCATCCCCTTCTACTGGTGGCTGGATGTGTGGCGCGACGCCGACCCGCCCACGGCGCTGGACACGGCGCTCAAGTGGCTGCACTGCGTCACCATCTACTTCCTGCCCTGCAGCATCTTCCTGGCCACCAACTCCGTCATCATCCTCAAGCTGAAGCGGCGGCGCCGCACGGGGGGCGGCAAGACCACGGCGCTGCTCCTGGCCGTCACCACCGTCTTCGTGGTGCTCTGGGCCCCCCGCACCGTCGTCATGATGTGCCACCTGTACGTGGCCTCGGTGAGGAGGGACTGGCGCGTGCACCTGGCCCTGGACGTCGCCAACATGGTGGCCATGCTCAACACCTCCCTCAACTTCTTCCTCTACTGCTTCGTCAGCCAGACCTTCCGCCGCACGGTGGGCGAGGTGCTGCGGGGGCACCCTCGCCACGGCCCCCCCCGCCGGGGCAGTGGCCACTTCCCACCCCCGGCCCTCAAACCGCTGGAGCTGTTGGCCAGCACCGCGCTCTGAGCCGGGGCAGTGCCCGGCTGGGGGTCCCGGCGCCCACCCAGCCCCACGCACAGCACCAGGACCTGGGGAGGCCTCCACAGTGCCAGGGGTAGTGCTGGTGGTGGCAGGAGGAGGTGGTTGTGCCCGGCTCCTCAGTTGGGGTCATTGGGGTGCCCTGCCTGGTGGCAGCACCCCAGGGACCCCTGCCCGCTCCCTGAGCCCCACCAGGATGGGCAGCTCAGCCCTATCCACGTTCGGCCCCTTGGGACACACAGCATTGGGACCCCCAAGAACTCGTCCAGGACATGCCCCAGCTCGGGTCCTGGGCAGCCCAGGGGCACAGCTGTCCGTGGTGAGGGGTGGTGGGCACAGCCGAGCTCCTGTGAGACCTGCAAGGACATGGTGCCCGCTGGGAGCCCATGGGATGGTCCTTCTGCCATAAACTGCCCTGCTGAGACCAAAACTCTGCCTGGGTCTGGCTCCCTGCAGGCAGATGGAACGGGGAGACCCTGCACCAGCACCCCTGGCACGGGGACCCTCTGCCCTGCCCACCCTGGTGCCCCCACCCTTCTGCCCGGGGGGTGCTGGAGGGAGCACCCTCGAGGTCCAGTGACCCCAGCTGTGGGGCCTGGACACATGGTAAGACCCCAACTCCTGGTCCCTACCTGAGAACCCCGGGAGGTGTCCCTGCCAGGCTGCAGCACCCCCAGGGTGCCCCCCAGCACAGGAGTGCAGCATCTCCCACCGGCTGCAGGGGATGGGGTTCACGATGGCCCCCTACACCGGTGGCGCCCTGGCAGTCCACCAGTGCCAAGGTGGTGTGACTCTGGGCCCAGCTGCCACCAGAGGGCAGGGATGGGACACTGAGGAGCTGGGACTGCCTGGGGGACAGGAGCTGGGCACCCCCAGCCCCCCAAACCAAAACCTGTCCCCACCCTAATTCCCCATAAGGTCCTTAGTGTAATCCCCCCAAACAGTCCAGGCGTTCCGCTCAGATTCCTGAGACCAGGCAGGACAGATCCTGGGGGGTGCTCGGGGGAGGGAGAGGGCTCAGCTGGCCCTGGCAGGGCACAGAGGCACCCCCCAAACCCCACTGAGCCCCCTGCCCACCCCGCCGAGCCCCGGCTGTGCCCACACAGGGGTGGGATGGAGCGCAGCGTTTCCCCCAGGGATGTGGGGCTGACCCACACACACCCACCCTGCCCCCGCACCCGGATCATTCCTGGCATGGACAGACCCCTGCAGGGATGTCACGGCATCCCAGGCTGGATCCACACCGGGGCACAGGGTTAAAGCCCGAGCCGGTGGCGCGGGGGGTACCTGGGAGGTTCTCGCTCCATTAATTCTGGCACGTGAGGAGAGCAGGACCGGGAAGGGATTAGTTATTAACCCGGCGGGCAGGGGCTGAGGGGCCGCGGGCCGGGGGGCTTGGCTGGGACGGGAACCCGCGGCGGGAGCTCCAGGATTGCCACCGGTGCCCCCGATTTCCACCAGCCCCCCTGTGCCAACCGGTGCGTATTTATTTACTTGGCAAAGGAGGTGGAAATGTGCTGACGGCGTCAGGGGCTCCGGTGGAAGCGGCTCCGAGCCCTGGCCGGGGCTGCGGGAGGCGCTGGGAGGGTGACAGGGACCCCCGGACCCCCCGCTCCAGGCTCCTTCCTGAGGGGAGCCACCGTGGAGACGGGGCTCAGCCAGCCGTGCCACCGTGCCAGCCGTGCCAGCCGCCCGTCCCTGCGGCTCCTGAGGAAAGGTAAGCCTGGAAAAAATGCGCCCGGCGTGTCGATGTTTTTGGATAGAGCCTGGCCAGGGTCCAGGTCCCGGTGCTGAGCGGCATCCCAGCCCCTCGCTGTGGCCTCTGTACTGGAAGGACCAGTTCTGCCCAGTCCCACCACTGGGATTGTGGTGCCCAGCCCACCCAGAGCACCAGAAAACTGGGATCAGGCTCTGCCCGTGCTGGAAGGTCGGTGCCAGGGACCCACAGCCCTGGGAGGGGACACAGGGCAGCAAATCCCAGCACTCGGTGACATCACCCCCCACTGACCCCACAGCCTGGTGGGACGTTTCTGTAGGACCTACAAAAACCCCAGGAGCAAACAATGGGGACTGGAAACCTGGGAAGGGTCCCTCTGGGAAAGGGGAGAGGAAATCATGGAGCTTTTGGGGGGAAAGTTGAGGGTTCCCATGGGAAGGGGGAAAGGAATCATCCACCATGGGAGAACGTGAGGGTTCCCATGGGAAGGGGATGAGGAAATCACCCTTCATGCTGGGGGGGACGCAAAGGCGAATGCAGGGCAGCCCCAGGGCAGCCCCGGCGGGACAGACGCCTGCCGGTGGCCCCACAGGGGGTCACGGGGGTCTCGTGCTGAATCAGCAGCCGGGAAACCCTCTGGCGGAAGGAAGGAGCCAGCGGAGAGGCCGGGCTGCCGGTGTGGGGGCGGCAGGACAGCCGGGCTCTGCTCCCAGCACCGCTGATCCACGGCTCAGCCTCGCCTGCAGACTGGGCCCTATCCACTCCTGGAGTCTGCGTTCCAAATCCCTGCTGGAACTGAGGCACGGGGGGGCCACTGCAGAGCCCCTCGCCTGCACTGCTCTGCCCTGAGGGCAGGAAGGGGTGATCCAACCCCAAACGCCATCCCAGTGCCAGAGGCTCCTTAGGAAGAAGGGCAAGAGCGTGTCAGCGGGCGTGGCACTGGACACACCATCCCATCCCCCCTGGCTCCGGTGGGTGCCAGTCCTCGTGCTGTGGGTGCTGCCAGCTCCAGTGGGTGCCAGTTTCTGTGCCACAGATGCTGCCCGCTCTGGCGGGTGCCAGTCCTTGTGCTGGCTCCTGCTCATCCGCCCTTTCTCCCCGGATTGTTTCCACCCCGGCCTGGACTGGGGCAGGACCCGCCGGAGGCACATTGAACTTTCCTCTGCATCCTTTACTCTCGTGCTTCACCCTCCTGAAAGAGCAGCAACCTCTCCCAGGGGTTCCCAAATCTCCTGGGTCTTTTCCCCATCCCCAGGGTCTGTGGGGTGCCCTGTCCCAGCTCCAGGGATGGATGGGAGGACTGTGGGGTGCCCCATCCCAGCTTCAGGGCCACAACCACCCCCGTCAGGACAGGGACCAGCGAGCCCTGTCGGTGCCCCCAGGCTGGGGCTGCCCTGGCCCCAAGCCCTCTGCAGGAAGGGCTTTTCCAGGGTTTTTCTGGGGTTTTTGGGTCCCGCTGTCCTGCCAAGGGCTCCGGCTTTATCCGTCAGCTGACATTCCTCCGGGAGGCCCCTCCAGGCCTGTGTATCCTCACACAGCAGGGCTGCCTGCAGAGCCCCGCTCCCGGCTCCCACCCCCGAGCCCACCGGAGGCCAGTACGGGGCCCCGTGTGGGCGACACAGCCTCTCCCACTGTCCCTTGTCCCTTGAGAATCTCTCCTAGTGGGCAGCGCTCAGCTGAGACGGGCTGAGACTCCCCCCAGACTCATCACACTGCTGACAGAGACACCTCCCCCCTCCACACACACAGACTCATCACAACGATGACCAGGTGGGCTCCCCCCTGCTCCAACCCTCCCAGCCCGGGCTGCGCTCCCGCCCCCAGCCCCCTCCGTGCCCCAGGGCGGGATCCCGGTGCCCCCGCCCGGTGCGGCGGGGCAGGTCCCGGCCGGCCCCGACCGCGCTCCCGGGGTTGAGCCGCACCTCGGGGAGGGGCCGGGCCGGGCAGGCGCACGGTGCGGCGGCACCGGGGCTGGCTCGGCTCGGCTCGGCTCGGCACGGGGGGAGCGGAGCGCAGCGGAGCGGTGGCCAGCGGGGGCTGCGGCCGGTGAGAGGGGCTGGGGCGGGGGCGAGCCCTGCGGGGCTGGGGGGCACCGGGAACCGCGACGGGAAGGGACCGGGACCCGTCCGCCCCCTGAGCTCCTCCGGCCGGAGGGTCGGGGGCGGCTCAGGCGGAGTTTCGGCGCCAGGACCGGGCGGGAGCTCCGGGAAACACCGGGACGGTGCGGGATGGGCGGGCGGGGGGAGCGTGCTGGGGGAACCGGGGAGAGGGCGCGGGGGGAGCGGGACGGGAGTGCGGGGAGAGCGAGTTGGAGCTGCGGGAGGAGCTGGGCTGGGAACGCGGGGAAGCCCGGCCGGGCATGCGGGGGGACTGCGCCGGGGGTGCGGGGCTGCGGGCGGAGCCGGTCCGACCCGCGGGCACGGAGACTCTGTCCGACTGTGATACGGGGGTCCCTGTCCCCATCCCGGAGCGGAGGGGTTGCCCAGTTCGGAGTGTCCCTCGGAGAGCAGGGGGTCCTGGCCCCAGAGTCACCTTGCCGGGGGTCTCCTCCTCTTTTCTTCCCCCCAGCAGTGGGGCTGCAGCTTCTCTGCTGCCTCCTCTTCCCTGTGCCCACTCCTGGGTGGCAGCAGTGGGGACAGTCACCGGGACCCCGTGCCATGCCAGGCTGTGCCGTGCCATGCCAGGCTGCGGCTGCCTACGTGCCAGCGGGCCAGACACGCTACCTGCACTGGGCCAGTGCCTGGAGCCAGAGGAGGGAAATGGGACAGGAGAAGTGGAAAGAGGAACATGGTGGCAGCTAGGGACAAGGCAAGGGGTCAGCCCTGTCCTGCAGTATCACCTCTGCCATCCAGCCTGGGCCCACATTCGGTGTTCCCAGGAAGCCAGCGGGCACAGTGCTGCCCACTCCTGGCACCGGTGGCAGGGATGGGCACAGCCCCAGAGAATTCCCATGTCAGGAGGGAACTTGTGGGGCACAGAGATCTCCCCTCAGCTGTCACCAACCTCCAGGCAAGGAGTCGATGGGGAACATGTGGCTGCCTGGTCCCATCTGGAGCTCCCTGGCCTCGCTGGGGTGGGCTCAGCTGTGCCAGCACACTCAGGGCTCCCTGGGACCTCACTGCTCGCCGTGGGATGGCCAGGGCGGGGCTGTGGGCAGGGATGCTCCAAGCCAGGAGCTGATCCGTGTCTCTGGTCACCGTGCCCTGACCCCGCTGTGTCCCACAGGGTCCCTGGGTGCCACAGTGCAGGATGGAGCCCACGGCCGTGCTGCTGGCCCTGCTCCCCACGGCAGCCACGCAGCCCACCCCGCAGCCCACCCCACAGCCCACCCCGCCCCCAGGCTGTGGCCACGGCCTCTCCTCCCTCTACTACAACCTCTGCGACCTCTCGGCGGGCTGGGGCATCGCGGTGGAGGCTGTGGCCAGTCTCGGCGTGGTGACCACCTTCGTGCTCACCATCGTGCTGGTGGCCAGCCTGCCCTTCGTGCAGGACCCGCAGAAGAAGAGCCTGGTGGCCACGCAGGTGTTCTTCCTCCTGGGCACCTTCGGGTTGTTCTGCCTGACCTTTGACTTCGTCGTGGGGCCGGATTTCTCCACCTGCACCTCCCGCCGCTTCCTCTTCGGTGTCCTCTTCGGGATCTGCTTCTCCTGCCTGCTGGCGCACGCCATGGCCCTCAACTTCCTGGCGCGGCGGAACCGTGCGCCGCGGGGCTGGGTGACACTGGCAGTGGCCCTGTCCCTCGCCTCGGTGGAGGTCATCATCAACGCCGAGTGGCTGCTCATCACGGTGGCGCGGCGGGAGGGCCCCCCGGACCCCTGTCAGCTGGCGGACGCCGACTTCGTCATGGCGCTCATCTACGTCATGTTCCTGCTGGCGGCCGCCTTCGGCGCGGCCTGGCCGGCCCTCTGCGGCCGCTACGGCCGCTGGCACAAGCACGGCGCCTTCATCCTGGCCACCACCGGCCTCTCCGTGGCCATCTGGTTGGTGTGGACCGTCATGTACCTCTACGGGAACCGGCGCGCCGGCCACAAGCCGGGCTGGGATGACCCCACGTTGGCCATCGCGCTGGTCAGCAACGCCTGCGCCTTCCTCCTGCTCTACGTCATCCCCGAGGTGACGCACGTGACGCGGCGCAGCCCCGAGCAGGCCTTCGAGGACGACGGCTACCCAACGCGCGGGGTGGGCTACGAGACCATCCTGAAGGAGCAGAAGTCCCAGAGCATGTTCGTGGAGAACAAAGCCTTCTCCATGGACGAGCCCTCCTTCGGTGGGTGCTGGGGCTCGCGGGGACCCTCCTACCCCACGGTGGGCTGTTGGTGGGCACCAGGGATCCCCATCAGGGACCCTCTCACAACGTGGCAGGGCTGCTGGCGGACGCTGGGGCTCACCAGGGACCCTCTTGCCCCATGGTGGAGCTGCCAACAGGCACTGGGGACCCTCACGTGTGGGGACCCTCGGGGATGTCCCCACTAAGGGTGGCAGCAGTGGGTGGGTGATGAGCTGTCTGGCGGTGACCTGCCAAGGACTGACGCCTGTTGTGGTTCCCGAGAACTGGCCGGGCTGGGCCTACCAGTTTGGGCTGAGCCCAGCAGGCGCTGGGTGCTCCCTCCCCGGCGTGGGGTGCCCGCGGCTCCCGGGCCTCTGCCCCGGGCACACACTGCACTCGCGAGACCCTACAATAACACGGGGTGGTGACAGCCTCCCCAGTGGGCATCGCAGGCGGGCACCAGGTGTCTGCACCCCACGGGGCAGGGAGGGTCCCCCCGAGCAGCACCTGCACCCGAGAGACCCTACAATAACAAACCGCAGCCAGGCAGGGGCTGCGCCGGGAGCGCGGCAATGCCAACCCTGGGGACAGGAGTGTCCCCTGGGAAAGGCACAGAGCTGCTGAGTCAGCTCATTAAACTGGCTAACGAGGCACCGGGATTCCCGGTGGGCGGAGGTGGCTCCGTGGTGACCGTCCCTGTGTCTCCGCAGCCAAGAAACCGGTGTCCCCGTACAGCGGCTACAACGGGCAGCTGCTGACCAGCGTGTACCAGCCCACCGAGATGGCTCTGATGCACAAGGGCATGGTGAGTGTGACACCAGCTGGCACTGGGGGCAGCCACATCGGGCTTCCAGCTGGGACAGGGCGTGAGGGGGTGGGGGCCACCACGATCCCCGTGTCCCAGTGGCTGCTGTAACGGGCGGGGGACCCTCTGAGCCTTCCTCCCCCAGGACCCTGCGGGGCTGGGGGTGTTCCCAGTGCGGTGACACCCCCTGTGTCCGTCCCCCAGAGTGAAGGTCCCTATGACGTGATCCTGCCCCGCGCCTCCACCAGCCCGGCACCCGGCAGTGCCAGCTCCACGCTCCGAGCTGAGGACGCCTTCGCGGCACAGGCCCGGCACATCGGCACCCCACGGGACACCCGGAGCTTCCAGGTGGGTGAACAGCAGCGGGCACCCAGCCACGGCAGGGGCAAAGTCTGCCTGCTGTGGTGATGGCTCTGCCCAGCACCCAGAACCCCCCCAAGTGGGTCAGGGTGCACGTGCCACCAGTGCAGGAGCCACGATCCTGGTGCCATGGCTGTGCCACCCCGCTCTGCCCGCAGGTGCAGTCCCCGTACAGCAGGAACCGGTGGTGAAGCCCCCGTGGCACAGGTCCCGCAGCACTGGCACAGCCGCGGCCCCTCCATCCTGCTCCCGAGGTCTCGCCAAGCCTCATCCTGCCCTCACACGTGAATCCCACCCCGGCCAGCAGCCAGAGCCAGTTCCTGCCAACGGGATGCCCGGATACGGCCCCAGAGCCAGCGCTCCCACCTGCCCGTCCCACCTGGCCTTGGCACCCGCAAGCCGCCCGCTCTGCCCGGACCCCACGGCCTGCCTCAAGGACTGGCTTCCATGGGGACACCCCAAGTTGTCCCCCCACTGCCTTTGTGACGCACAGACACCCCGTCCCCCCCAGGCCATGGACCCTCTGAAGCCGGGGAGCCGGTGGGACCCCCACCCAGGGCACCCCCAGCACCGAGCCCCCGGCTCCGTGGTGACCCCACCAGCCCTGGGGACCCTGAGCTGGCCCGGCCCCCTCCCACCACGGGGCGTGAGGGGACACAAAGCTGTCCCCAGCTCTGCCTCCTGCCCTGCCTCAGTTTCCCCACTGCTGGGGAAGGGAGGCTGCTGGGGGCCCGGGGGATCAGTGCCTTGCTGGGGCCCCCCAGTCCCAGCTGCCTTCTCGGTGCCTTCCCCCCTCAGGGCTCGGGGACCCTTCTGGGGTGCGGGGAGGGGGCTTGACCCCTCGCCCTCCCTGTGGCTTTCTCTGTCATTTTTCCTCTCCCCCGTTTTTTTTCAGGTCACCCCAATAAAGGTGGTTTTTCCTACGGTGCTGTCACAGGTGGCCCATGATGGGAGGTGTCCCCAAGCTGCTCCCCCATTCCTGATCCCACCGCAGTGCCTGCAGACTCAGTGCCATGTTCCCCTTTTGGGGGCTCACAGGGAGCAAGGGGGGGCTCAGGGCAGGGCCCTCAGCACCCCCAGCCCTCCCAGATGGGGCGGCTGGGCCAGAATCCCGAGGGCAGATGGGCTGCCGGGCGGGAGGCAGCACAGCACGGAGGACGTGCCAAGGTCAGGGCGGTTTTCCCGCTCAGATTGCCTTCCCCTCCACAGCCATTCCTCCTCCTCTGGGCAGGAAGCCTGTGGCCATCAGTGCCATGAATTATTCAGGGCTGGAATGGCTCTGTGGGGGCAGGAGGGTGACCTGCTCTCCTTGAGCCGGAGCCGGGATGGAGGGGTGGCGGGGCTGCCAGCAGGCACGTGTGCCCTGCACGGGTGTGCCCGCACGAGGGGGACACGGCAAGAGTGTGGCACATGCCCTGTCCCCACCGTGCCCTTGGCTGGCACACGCCCACGCTCCCGGCTTCAGGGACACAGCCGTGGGAGGCGGGTGTTTGCAGCGGGATGTGGCCGTGCCCCCCCGGGGCACCCGTGTTTACCTGCCTCCCGTGTTTACCTGCCTCCCGTGTTTACCTGGCACCTGTGTTTACCTGGCGCCAGGTGGCAGAAGGGACATCGCCCAGCAGCGCCAGGCACTCGGTGTCCCCAGGGCCACCATCACCGCAGCGCTCCCTCCTCCCAGCCACTCAGCGTGTGACCCCCTCCCAAATACACGTCCACCTTCCTGGGGGCACAGCAGTGACACCCGAAAAGCAGGGTGGTAGAGACTGTCCCTGCCCAGCTCCAGTGGGGACAGCGGAGCTGCCGGTGGCTCCCTCCCCTGCCCAGCCCCTCCGGAAGCGCGGGATCCCACCGGTGCCGCCAGCGCCGGCCGCAGCCCCGCTCCAACAGGGAATGCTTTGTGCCGGCAGGGGCTGCGGAACAGCGGGGCCTTTGTGCGGGCAGGTGAGGGCAGACACGGCTGCGCCACGCCGGGAGCAGCCACGGAGCCTCCCCGGGGCCCGGAGTCGGGGGCTGCCCGGGGGCACCGTGGACGGGGCGGGTGGCACAGGGTGGGTGTGGGTGGGGACACGGCAGCACACCTGGCACTGGGGGCATCGGGATGTGCCAGGCACGGGGGGGGGACAGAGGCAGCAGTGCCGAGGGCAGGGGTGGCACGGCCGCAGACCAGGGGGTCCATAGTGCCGTGAGTGGTAACAACACAGGGAAGTGACATTGTGCAGGTGAGCTCTGTGGGATGCTCCATGTCCTCAGCACTGCCTCTCTTTCTTCCCACTCAGGACTGGCGCTGGAGGGGTCATGGCCAGGCACTGGGGTCTCCTCAAGGCTTAGCAACGAGGGTCCTGGCCTTGCCAGAGCCCTGCCCAGCCTGCAGTGACAGTGACACGCCTGGCACTGCCATCTGCCTGCACTGCAGTGTCCCTAAGGAACCCGGGCAGGGTGGGAGCACACACACGCTCATGCCATCAGCTCCCACTGGCACTTTTACTCCAAGCAGGTCCATGGCACCGCAGGGACCCCACTCTGGGCAGTCTTTGGGAGTCCCAGGGCTCGGCAGCAACACGAGAGCATCCCGGCAATGTCCCCTGCGAGTCCCAGGGTCCCTGCAGAGCGATCAGCAATGCACAGCCCCTGCGGGTGGGCTCAGTGTGGGGCCCCGTGCCCGGCCTGGGAACGCTCCCGCTGGAGCTGTTTCCGCCTCTGGATGTCCCTGTAGGCCTGGATGACCCGTGCCCGCTCCTCCTCCACGATGCGCCGGCGAGCCATGGACATCACCGGGGACGCGGGGGACGTGGGGGACGCCTGGCTCTGGCCCAGCCAAGGTGTCAGGAGGAGCTGCTTCCGTCCAGCCTGCGGGCAGAGCGGCACAGGATGAAGGATGAGACAGCGGGATCACGCTGCCAGGAGCTGTCACCGGGCCACTGAGGAGACCCCAGCCCTGCAGGTAGCCAGGTGGCACTGTCCCCCAGAGCTCACCTGCTCGGCAGGACCCCGTCCCCGGGGCCGCGAGGTGATGGTGGGTGGCTGTGTCACCACCTCCCCAAACGCCACCGTGTCTGTGAGGAAACCAGAGCCAGAGTCAGGTCCCTCCAGGATGTGCCAATCCAGCTCCCCAGTCCCCTCCATGTGCTGCCCCTCCAGTGCTGGGGGTCACTCCAGCCCACCCCACTCCAGCCCCACCTTGGAACAGGCTCTTCTCCAGCATGTCCTCCTTCTTCTCCTCTTTCTTCTTCCGAGCTTTTTCCAGCTTCTTTCTCTGAAACCTGAAGAGCCTTGTTATGCCCGGGGCTTGGGAACAAGGAGGTGAGTCCCTATCCCACAGAAGTCCCCCAGATCCCACAGCTCTCCCCCCAGGAGGGTGAAGCAGGATTGTGGCTCCATTCCCAGAGATCCAAACCCACGGAGAGCCCCCCAGCTGCTGCCAACACCAGACCTGCCCTGTCAAAGTGAGCAGGGGGACAGGTCACAGCCCTGGGCTGGCCCCATCCGGCCCCCACGGCCTTGCTCTCACTCTTTTTTCCTCTGGGATTTCTCCGGAGCCGTGTCCTCCCGCTCAGGCTCCCGCTGGAGCTGGTTCTCGGTGAGGAACAGGACGTGCTGCACCTCCTGCTCCATGCGGCAGATGTAGGAGTGCTCCGACTCCCCCTTCCCC